AAATGTTTGTGTGATATATGACGAGATGTTTACTGGAAAATGCTTTTCTCGTGTTTTGCATAACTTGTGAATCCACACAAAGGCTTACATAATTCATAAGCAATTCATACAGAATATTCAAACGATTGGATTGTAAAGTGTTTAAAAAATTTACTCATTATTAGAAACAACTGATAAAACAATGAGTGAATCGGACGAGAATAAGACAAACCGATTGCCGGGACTGTACGGCAATACAGACCTGAGTTCCCGTATAACACAGTTTCAGGAGCGGGCGGATCAGCACAAAGAGAAGCAGAAACTAAACCCTTTCTCCGGCTCTTTCGATGCCGTGTCGGCCGCCAAACAGAAACTCAATAAAGAGGATCCGAAGTAAGTGTTCACTCATGTAATAGAATTGACAATACCTTACCTTTGGATGCCGTGTCATAAGCTATGGTCGACCCGTGGAGGGCAGCAAAACGGAGCAGAGGGGCAAACAGGCCGCACAACTGCTCTTCAATGAGATTAAGCTGTTGTGCGAAATAATAGGGAAACACGGCGTGGATGCGGGGGAAGGCAGGCATACCATCACATTCAAGGAGTTGTTCGAACTCTACAAAGTCATCTCCAATAAAGTGGTCGGTCTTCTCATCAGAGCCCGAAAGTATCGTTTGGTTGACTTCGAGGGGGAAATGCTTTATCAGGGAAGGGATAACAACATTGTCATCACTCTTCTGCGGGAACTGAACGAGAAGGACATCGAGGAGTTCGCAAAGACTAAAGAATAGCACATTTCTCACTAACAATTCGATTAACTTTATTGACATTAATTATGATAACATTTATAACTTTTTTTTTGCTTTTTTGGTTTTTATATATTATTTGCAATGTTTTCCAATTAAAAAATAATTAAATAAAATGAATAAACGAAAAATGATTTGATTGGCAAAAACAAAGTGATTTTCTAACAAATGGTTTCTTTTGTGTTCATTTTATATTAAGTTAAATAAAAGCAAATTAAATCAAATCGGGAAAGAGTTCTGTGAAAGTGTGGTCTAAAGAGTCATCCGATGTGACAACCATTTTGTGGTCCAATTTGAATGGCGGCGAAGGGAG